AAGCCAAACTAAAATGAGTGAACTCCAATAATAGGGCACAATGGTCTTGCATCTCTAAAGCTTCAAAATCAAGCTTTCTTTTTGGGTTGTGTGGCATAGGTAAACCAAATTCGGGTAACAAGGAATCGTTTATAATTAACTTTCACCTTGTAGTCAACCTTAGTGTTTAGTGACTCATGTCCTTTCACCTTCATCAGAATGTTACTTTAGGTAATCTGTGCCCTTCTCCAGCTTGAGTGCAGGGGATGCCGGCATTCCTCTCCCCTTCTTAGCAAGTGCTCCCTGCATCCTAGAATCAACCCCAGTCCTGCCTACACTCTCTTGGGCTTAGATGAGTCTGAACAGTTTCTGCCTAAGCCACAGTTATTGAACCTCCTAGACGTATATTGGTTTAATAAGTGTCTAGCCTTTTCACCACATTATGCTAATGGTGGATAGTAATCGGGTGTGGCCCTGCCTTGAGGTCATGTGAGCTGATGACTTCACACAGCATGTGCCAGTGGTGGGGTATGGTGGCAGCCTTCCTCTTGATCTTTTCCTCTTTTCCTCTTGATCTTTCTTGATCTCTGTAGGAGAACCAAGCGTCTAATGTCCACGCTGTGTACCACCTATCTATCTTAGATTTAGTCAAGGATACCGTCCAATAGCTAGTGTAGAAGAGGACACCATCTTGCTGTCACCACAGGCTGCAGCGTGTTTTGTGCCAACCCCATTAATAGCAATAACACAAATGCAATGAAATACAATAGAACATAAGCAAATGTGTAATAAAGTCAGATAAAACATCAGTAAAAGCAAGCCAAAAGCCTGACTAAATAAAAATATTTTTGCTTGCTGGAAGAAGGTAATTAGAGATGGGGTTAGCTGGGTCTCATTAGCAAGGAGTTTCAGAGCCAGAAACCAGCCTGGTGAGAAGATACTCTCTCAAGTTCCCACCAGAAGGAAGCGCCTCTCCCAGTGTTTTTGAAACTCAGGCAGGCCTGAAGGAGGAATGTAAAATATTTCAGATAGTCTGGTCTCAAAGAGTGTAGGGCTCTGTAGTTCTTAACCAGTTCATTGAACTGTACTCAGAAACGGTCAGTAGGCAATGAAGCTGTTGCATGAAGAGAGTTACCATTCAGACCCAGCTGATATGTCTGAGCATTCTTCAAAGGCAGCCCAGGACAGAGCATATCACTCATGTCTAGCTGAGATGTGACTAAGCCCCATATTACTATGATACATTCCCTAAATCCAATTAACCTTTTTTAAAGGTGATTAGACCTGTAAAATGCTATTTGCTTTTTCTGGCTTCTGTGGAGTTGCACACTGCTTTTTTTACTGGGTGAGGTGGGGTGGGATTGCACAAATGTGCACTTGCACTAATCTGCATTTGCAAACAGAAACAAAATTCTTGTATAACCATTTAAAAAGATGATCCTGCCATTAGGTGGATGACAGGATGCATGTTGCCCAGCAGTCCATGTAACCCAGTTTTGGATTTTATATTTTAATAAAATCCATAAACCTACTACAGGATATATGTTGCATGTCAAAAAAGTTGTCACTTCCCTTTAACAGGACGTGTTAGAGCCTGGGAAATGTTCATGAGAATAAACCAAATAGAAATTATTTTCTTGAACGAATACAGCTTGTGCTTTGTCATAAGATAAATTAATCTCTAAGATGGCATTAGTGTAACAAAAGGATACTTATGATCATTCCATCTTGCTTTAGGTCCTGGAGAGCTTCGTTTAAGGAGTGTGGAATCCAATCAGTATCTAGGGCCACTTTGGAAAGGAAATCTATCATTGAGCTGGAAAGCTGGAACCTCAACTGAATCTTTTATCAGCTCCAAATTAAGATAATTATCATACAGCTTGCAGTGGTTGTTGCCAGATTAGTGAGATGCCCCAAGAGTCATGGACTGATATGTTAGCCTATGCCTTGAATGCTGAATTGGGATGAGCTAATTCTTGATAGTATAATGATTTAGATGTAATTATTTTAGCCTGTGTTTTGTCAGGCAGCAAATTTTAGCTGGTTAAATGGTTAGACTAATTGTTGTGTTACGTTTTAACTGGCTAAAGGTACAATTTTACAGATGTTGAGACAGAAAAAAAGCCTAGATTTCCCAGCAGTTTCCATTCCAGAATGCCAGGAGTTGAATTACAGAACTTTGGTCTGTCTCAGTATGTATAGAATTGTGCACTAAAACTCGTTAGGATTATTTTGAGAATGAACCAGAGGAGAGCTAACATTGTGTATGCTGCCTTGTACTACTTGAAGAAAAAGAAAGGATATAACTGTTGCAGATAAATAAAATGCATGTGTAATTGAGATGAATCTGTTTTTTCATTCTTAGACTCTTCAAGTGTTCATAAATTCACAGATACTGGCCCTTAAAATGTTAACCTGTTCTCCCATGTTCTGGATCTTCCTGGGAGACCTGGGGAACATAAAATGGTGTATTTAGGAATGATTTTCCTGGGTGTTTATAGATTCTCAGAAAAGGCTGCCATCTATTTTCATATCTTTTAGTTACCAGCAAATGGTCTAAAACCATTAACAATAAAGAAAATGTGCAGTTCTCTGAATTTAGTAATTTAAAAAGAAATTGTTTGAAACTACCCCAGTGCATGCCCTGCATTCCCAGACAGTAAAATGGGAAATGGGGGCTTCTGTGTGGTATTCTTTCTTTCTCCTTCACTGATTCTTTTTTTGCCTCTGTTCTGAGAACCATGTAATTCCATCCTGGAATGTTTGGGTTACCTCAGGCTTCAAGGCCATATGGCAGTACATCTTCTGTCTTCCTCCATCTGTCTACCCAGTGACTCTTCACAACCCATCTCCCCCCTTTCTGCTTGAAGGACTTCTGTCACTTTACATCCATTAGAAACAGGGGGCCACTCTACTCAGTGGATTAGAGCAGTGTGGGCTGGCATAGCATGCGGCGCTGCTCTCCAGCCAGGATAACTGTACAAATGTCCTTCGGTGCCCTTGCACTAGGAATCCCAAGGCTGCTTCTACTCTATTACTTAATACTTGGCAGGTTTGAGCTACAACCAATTACCTTTTTCCTTTCCACTTCTGTTGGTATGTTTTTATTTCAAAGCCTTTCTAGGGAAATACAATAGAACATTGTTGCTTCTTAATCTTTTATTTAAAATTGCCAAGAGACAAGAGTGGCATCATTTGCTAAGCCTAAATTGCAAGGCGGGCATCCTTCTGTAGAGGAAAAACAAATGGGAGACTAGTTAATGACAATGAACAACACCCCTCCACCTGAAAGATATCAGACGTTGGCTTTGGGGAAAGCTGCTTTGGAATCATACTGACTGGTACTGCATCATAGTGTATTGAGCTATGCTTAAGGAACAAACTTTTCATTTGTAGCTGATTACCAACTAATGGGATTTCAAAGTTTTGTGGATATGAATGTTTCACATCTCATTTCATCTGATTTGGAGATGGGTGTGTTTGGATGTATCACTTTATCATACTGATGTCTTGGCTTGGAATAAATTTCACTTCCTTTATTTTGATAGAATGGGACCTGGGTTATGTTTTCCCACAACTCCCGGCCCCCAAAGTTTGGTTAAATGCTGTAGGCTTAATGGCCATTTCTAAAATATTTCTTCCAATTTGGGGAAATGACTAAAGCAGCTGATTGCATGTATTTAAAGGATTAGCAAAAAAAAAAAAAAAATGGTTGCAGGTCCTTTCAACTGTCTGTCTGCCTCTATTTGACATCTGAGCTATATGCTGCACTTGTGAAAAATAGCCTAGCTTTGCCTGAATAGAATTTGAAGGCAAGAAAAGCTAAAAGGCTTTGCAGTCATATCCATTCTGTTGTTTATTTGTCATGTCCTGCCTTCCCTCTCTCTCATAAGGCCTATTCTTCCTTAGCACATTGGCAGGAGCAAGGAAGGTTAGCTAAGAAATAACCAAAGGCAAAAGCCAGGCTGTGGTTGCTCATTCCTTCTGTGTATATAGCCTAAGTTCTTTCCAGCTTTTCTTTTCTACTGTCTATTTTCTAAAGGAAATTTCAATTTCATTTGAAATTCTGGACAAGGAAAGGTGGGCTACTTTTTGCATGATAGTGTAATATGTGCTCCTGTTTGTGTTTGCATATGGTTTGGTTTGTCTACTTTTGGCTTTTGTAAAGGAAAACATACAATGATGAATGGAAGAGGTATACCAGGATCTTCCAAGGGCATAGTCAGAAGTGGTGCTGAATAGGAACTCTGAATTTCCTGTAGTTAAGTCAAATGGAAAGCCACATTTTAGCAGCATGTGCATTCAATTTAAAAATTCTACAGCACATTACACTACATTAACCACAATCTGAAGTGATATGTTCCAGACTAAAAGTGTTGTTGGGATTGCTTGCCTGTGATCTTTACTGTATTTTGAAGATATTAACCAGTTATTTTTTTTTCTTTTTCCCTTTAAATCCTAGAATGAAGGTACATACACAGAAGCAATAAATAGGAACAAAATAGAAAATCAGTGAATCAATTGTTGAACACCTCTAAAAAGATTTTTAAACAAAACTAACTCTGTGCCTTTTTCAGACTGGTTGCTTAAAGTTAAATTATACATGCTGCCATTCAATTTAAAAAGCCTTTAACATTGGCCCATTTGTGCTTTCTGCTTTTCTAACCCCTGTGAGTTTTTTCAAAACCATTTTCACAGAAGGTACTTCATAGGAGAATGGACATACACACCATTATTCGTAAAGACACCTGCCTATTGCAAGCAATTCTTTCTCTTCATCTAGGTTTTGGAAAAGAATGAATACAGGGACTGGACTGGGGAGGGGCCTGTCATCAGCCAGTTATTTTAACAGTCTTGAAAACTTCCTTACAGATGAAACCTCCTTTTAAAAGAAATGTGTTTATGTTCCTGTAGCTTGACATAATTGACAGCTGTTGCATAGTCGCTTTGTGCTTAAATAAACTTGTTTTGGAGTTTCCCATCTGTGAAATAACACTAATCTTTCTCTCCTTCTCACCCAGTGAATGCTTGGGAGCAAGGGACCCTTATTGTGGCTGGGATAAGAAGCAGAGGCGATGCACAACCATTGAAGACAGCTCCAATATGAGTTTGTGGACCCAGAATATTACTGAATGCCCTGTAAGTAGAAACAGGAAAATGTATGCAATGTTCCCTGTGACTGACATGCATGCACATGCATGTGGACATCCAGATGTGCTGTGGTTGGCACATCTGTATAATTGGACCCCTAGACTTCAACTGTAGCATGTGTAAAGATGTGGATCAGAAGGCTGATGGGGTTACTTCGTATTCAGTATCATACTTCATCTGGATTTTTTGGGTTGAAGTGGCAAGATGACTAGTTTACTCTTTGCCTGATCTGCAACTATTTCTAGGTATGAACATTGCTGCTTATTGTGTGAGCACACAATTCCATGACAGTGACAGTCCTACCACCACATCCCATAATCTGCATTGCTCATGGATTCCCTTTCTTCAGCTGCAACTGGCACTAGACTAAATAGGAAAGATGGATAAATGAAGGCACACTGTGTCTGTAATTTAGCTGTTTATCCGTGGTCATCTGGTCATCTTGAATCTTAAGTGGATTCAGACAAAGCCCTAAAAGCCACAGTGTTGTGATGTGCTTGCATGACTCATGTGGATGACAGAACCACCTTCTGGAAATCATGACCCAGAATTCTTTAACTACTTACTTGTATTTATGAAATGCAGGGAAAGATTTGTATTTCAAGGATAAATATATATGCAGGGGAGTGAAAGAGGGCTGACATCAGCAAAAAGAATATAATGGGATTTTTTCTGTTTTTTCAGTGAATATCAAAATAGCAACTTTGTATTGTTCACGCACCGAGGCACTGAGTGGGATTTCAGCAGGTTTGGTTTGGTTTGGTTTGGTTTGGTTTGGTTTGGTTTGGTTTGGTTGTTTTGTTCTGTTTTGAATTCTCTTCTCAAGCTTAGCATGTTTGGAACAGGCTGGTGGCTACCAGCTACTCATGTAACTCTGCACCTTGAACCAGGCATCCCTCTGAGGTAGAAGAAAGTACAAATAGGCTTATGTAGATGCTTTTTTCCCTTTTCATTGGCTTGCTCTTCTGCTATCATGGACCTTAGCCTTCTGCAAGTCAGCAGTGAAATGCCTGCTTTACATGCAGGAGAGCCCAGGGTGAGTCTCTGGCTTCTGCTGGTAGGGCCAGAACACCTCTTGCCTGAAACCCTGGAAAGCTGTGGTTGGTCACCATCACTGGTACTGGCCCAGAGAGGATGAGAGTCTCACCCAGAATTAGGCATCTTCCTGTGTGTGTTCTTGAGGCAATAAGCAGCTGAGTTTGCAGAGAGTTATATCTGCATCATGCCAGTTTGGTTTTGAAGTTCAGTGCATGGGTGTTTTCTTATCATCCTTGGTACCAGAGTGCATTTTTGTTTCCTAGGCAGCATTAGTCATTCCTTCAGTTATTCTCTGATTAGCCAGCTTACGTTTCCATTTTTTCAAAGCTGGTTTTAAAGGTCTGTCTGTTTATAACCTTCATGTGCTGTTCTTGGGATATAGTGCTTCTTGACTGCACATGCTGTTATCTCATTCAGCTTAATGCCTCTCTCTGTTGATAGGTGGTGTGAGGTGTTAATCCTCTACTTGGAACATGGTCTGTCCTGGCCTCATGGGGAGCCTTCTCTCCCCCACCCGTTATCGGTGTTTCAAAGTCATTGAAAACAGCTGAAAATAGCCCCTTGTGATGCATTTGGGAGTTTAGAAATGATGTGAGGGGTGGGGAGGTTTACATTTGCTTCATGTTTAAATATGCAGGCAGTAGCATTTACTTTTTATTTTGTATTATCTTCTCAGAGACAGGAGCCCCCACAATGCATACTCAAGAAGTCAGCCAACACCTCACTGACTCAACAAATTCTGTTCCTTCTGCCTCAAGTGGTGACATGGTTCATAATGAATAAGTAGCTTTTTCATGTGGCAGTCCCTGTCCCTGGTCAAGAATGGAAACAGGAGTGACGTGGAATTGATGGATTCATGTGATTACTTTTCCAGTCTGACCACCTGACCCCTGAAATGGACTTTGTCAATGTGGGAGTACATGGCATTGCACTCATCTCATGTTTCTTCTTTCATTGCTACCAATGTGTATGAAACTGGATAAATAGAAAATTGATCCTGTGCTGCAAGTTATGAATTGGGTGTGTGTCTCATGAACATAACCAATAGTCTGCAAGCCTTTGGCACCAAAGAAAGATGTTCGTACTTCTTTTCTCTCTTACAATGTGAAGGCTGCTGACATACTTGTAGAGCACTGAGTTGAAGAGGTTAGTGAAGGCCCTACAGCAATAATAATTTGAAGGGGGTAAGAGGAATGTACCAATACAGACTGGGATCTTCATTCCAATTCAGACTATCTTAATGTAATGGTCCTTGCATTCCCTCTGTATTACGTACCCTGGGCAGTAACCATAAAGGCACCTTTTGCAGCCATTAACACTTCAACTGGCAGTCTTCATGGATTATTTCAAAATACATTAAGACTTAATTGAATAGTTCTGATGTGTGCCATATATGGCTATTTCTTTAACCATCAGCAGGTGGGGAATTACTCTGTCCTACTGTAAGGAAGACAATGGTCAAAGAATGAGGAAGGCTGTATGGTAAATTTAATTGCCCAGGTATGTATAGTTACTTTTTTTTCAGAGGGATGTGATTGAAGATTCACAGGGTACATGGTAGACTTAACTTTCTAATGAAGAGAGGCAAGAGCCCACTTTCTGTTTTGCAGGCAGTTCAGTGTTGCACTGAAAATGTCCTGGAAACCCAAACTTCTTTAGATTAATAAACTTCTAACACAGAAATTTTTGCTCATTCCTTTCATGCAGTAGAAGTCAGAGGAATGTAGGTGTGAGTCCCAAGTAGTCTCCATCAAGGCAGTGTGCAGGATCAAACCCACTTAGTTTTAGCAGTAGAATTACTGAAAGATGCCTTCCAATCCTTCTCTGGGAATTTACCTGCATCTTCCACAGAAGAAGGGAAGTGGAGTGCATTGTCAAGGTCTAGTAACTCAAGTCTTTTGAACTATGGTTACATTTGCACTCTGGGAAGCAGTACTAATAAATGGAACAGATACTGAAGGATTACCTGGATACTAACACTAATGGATTTTCTGGGAATAAGGCATAGTTTTCCCAGCAAGACTTAGCTCAAAGTAGATGTGTACCAGATTGCCTTACACTTAGCAATGAGATGTAGATTATGTGCATCAAAACAATGTTTTACCTTTCAGCTGTTGCCTGTGGCAAAATGAGAACAGCCAGTGAAATTTCCTCATGAGAGAATTCCACAGGCCTCTAAATTTCATTACTACTAAAAAGATACTGCCCTACATGACCACCAGCTTCATTTTGGATGCTAGTAGGGCAGTGTAGGAAGCTAGGTTCCTCCCCAGCTCCTGTCAAAACAGACCATTCTTGGCAAAAGCTCTTTGTTTCCAATGTACATCCAGCAAAATATAGCCGGTGGGGAAAGAGTCTCTGAGCATGCAGAGTAGTTTGGTACACCCAAATTAGAAACATTTTCTGAGAACCCTAATCCTGGACCCCACCTCTCTGATAATGCCCTTCTGGAGACTGGCAAGCCCCTTAGCTGTGAGCAGCTCCTTTAATTGGCTAGCCCTTCTCTTCTGACGGGGGTCAAGGATTGTTCCAGGCTCATCTGGCTCCTGTGGTTCCCCTCCAATACCCTATCCCAGCACTTGAAGACTGATGGTTCTCAGGGTCTGCCTGAACACCTGGAGATGGCAGCCTTGAGATAAGCTCCTCCACCTCTTCCTTCTCTCTGTTTGGAGGCCTCATCTTCCTCACCCAAAGTGTCTGTTTCACTCTGACCCTGAAATGCACACTAAGAACAACTTCCTCTCTCATTCCCACTGCCACAGAGTATTCTCTCAGGATCAACAAGAAGGCAGAAGCAATCCTTTTACAATAGCCAGAGGAGTCCTACTTTCAACAGTTGTAAGGCATAATGCAGTTATTTCCAGGTTTCTTCCTTAACATATTAGCCATGATAAGAAAAAAGGCAGAAGAAGCAGTGGAAAAATATGTACTTATTATGACAAAAAGTTACCCCTGTCTGGAATCCTGTAAAACCTCATGATAGAGGTAGAACAACATCACAATAAAAGCCTTGGCTAGAAGCATCAAAGGTCCCAACATAAATGACTGTATGCAGACTCCTGAAGTTGCATTCATTCAGCCAAACATAGATAAACTGCTTTAGATTCTTTTTTCTTAGTCTGGAGAAAGTAACCTTCTCATTTAAGTACATTCAAGAATCCATAGTCCTGTTAGATGTTACTCCTCTACCCATTGCTTTCAGGAAGAGATTGGGGCAGGCTTTGGGTTAGGTTTGCTCTAATCCTCTGAGAGTAAGCCCTCTTAATGCCAGGGCAAAAATTATATCTGAACATTTCCCATTTCACTGCAAACCTGAAAATTAAGGATCATGGGTATATTTTTTTCTGGATAAAAGATTACCTTGATTCATTCTTTTTTTTTTTTACTTTGCTATACTTCAAAGTATGGATACAGCAAAGTAAAATTTCTGCTAACGTGCATTAACGTGACCTCATACATTCTTTTTATACAATTTCTGTTCTGTTACTTACAAGTAGACATTTAGGGAAGAAAGTTAAGAGGGCACTCTTGGGAGTGCAGTGCTGCAGAGAAAGGTGCTGGTAGTGATGGCTACATATTAGGGGATGTAACCACGAGAGTGGCAAGGCTAACATTTTTGACAAGAAGGGCTGAATTTCCAGAGTAAGGAATGTGCCTTCTTTATAGATATATAGAAAGTGCTCATTTTGCTACTATTTTAAAGAAAATAAAATAGAGATTTGGCTTATAAATTACATCGGGCTGTGATAAATGATGAATTCCACTGCTTGGATCAAGACTTTGAAGATTAATTTTGATTAAAGAAGGTGTTTACATATGTCTCATTCCTTCTCTCTTTAGCCTGCTTGGCACTGCACTAACTGCAGCCAAGCCGCTAAGGGAGGACTGTTCTCTGATTAGATCAATGCATAGCTTCTAAACCAGAACGCTAAACAATTTATTGAAAGAAATTGCTACAAACATAAAGATAGTTATAATCCATATGTTCTTAAAGAGGAATAGAGATTTCCACACTTACAATTGATTCAGAGAACGTCCATGTTTATTTAATTAAAATTTGGTTGCTTTCCCAATACTGACTATAAGCAATGATTGTTGCTCAAATTTCCTAGCCTTTTTTAATTTCTCTCTCTACTTGCTAATTAAAACATGAAGCCAAATTAACATCCTTGATTTAGAGCAAGTGTATAAGAACAGCCCTGCTGGATCAGAGGAGGTTCTGTGTAGTCCACTGCATTCTGTTTTCAGCAGTGACCAGGAAAAAGTAAAGCTCCCCATTAAGACCAGCAAGATGTTACACGTAAAAATTGCTAGAGGAAAATTGGTTTAATTAAAAATAACTCAGGCTTTGGTTGTTATCCATGTCTGCTGTCTTATCATAAAGTATAAAAAAATGAAGTAGCTTGGAAGGGTAGGGGGATTAGCTTTATATACTTTATATACTATTATTTCCCTGATCCAGTTTCCTTTGTGCTCTCTGATGCAGAGTCTGGTCTCTTGTAAGAGCAAAATTCCTTGTTCACTTTAATGGAGAGAGTTCAAAAGACAGTTCAAATGAGCAGAACTACTTAGAGTGAATCTCTCACTGGTGGAAAAATCTAAGAATTCTTTGGAAAACCTTTACCTTCCTAGAATCACTGGTTTGGAGTGATTTTGTTGATTTTTTGATTTGTTATGGCACCTGGCTCTGTCTAAACACCTATGTAGTGAGACTGCTTTGATTTAATAAACATCATTCAACTCTTATTCTCTGATCCAAACTGTTAACATAGAACATTTGCAACCTAATGCAGATTTCCAGTCTTGTTACTGGTTCTCCTTGTTGCAATTTGAACATGTGCGGGTGGTATCTGATGAAGGCATAGAGACCAAAATGGACAGTCTGTAGAAATGCAAGTGCTGTGCCTTGTCCAACACCCTCTCCCATTCCTTGGGTCTCAATGTCTCCTTTCCCTGCAAAATGTTCCCATATACGTGTGCCTTTTGTCTCTTCTATTATTTTAATAGAGCAAAGCAAAACAAAATCAGTACTAAAGAATGTAAATTATAGGCAGCAAGTTCCTTTACCAAGGTGATTAAATGTTCCTTTACCATGACTTATTTAATCTGTGGAAAAAATATAGTTTTACCTTTTTGTGTGCTAGTTTGAATTGATTTGGAGCACTGTGTCCAATTCTTAGTGCACTTCTATAAGTACAATATTGACAAATTGCAGTGCGTTCTGATGAGGGCAGCCAAGGTGGTAAGGGGTATGAGAAAGTTCTGTGAGGGACAGTTAAAGAAACTGCCTGTTTATCTTGAAGAGGAGAAGAACTGGATGGGTAGAAGTGGCTGCAGCACTCTTCAAATACCCAAACAGCTGTCCCACAGAATAGGGCAGGACTATCTTTGATGGGCTGAAGCAGTGGGTGGTAATCTTCACTTGAATATTAGGAGAATCAGCTTGGTGCTCATAGCAGTTCTGCAGAGGAACAGAAATCCCAGGTGGGTGATGAGCTCTTCCTTGCTTGTATTTGCCCTTCAAGCAGAAGCTGAATGGCCATATTGGTAGTTCTGGGATCTCCTACCTTGAGGAAGAGGATGGATTCCAACTCTGTAATGGTAATTTCCTTGCTGCAGAGTTAGAAGAGATAAAAACTATACTCAGATGTTTTAAAGGTTTGTCTACCCAGTTCCATGGTGGGATTAACAGCCTGACAGTCCCAGTGGATAGTACTCTAGTTTACTCTTTATTGTGGTTTTCTACTATATGTGAAGAATGTATTACAGCACCATTTTGGTGTTTGAGCTTTATGTTTCCTGGTCCAGCAAGAGATACCCAGGCAGAAATCTGCTTCTGCAAGTGTATCTTCAGGGTTGCACTCTTGCTTTGAGGTTGCTGGTCAGTGGCTATGAGAGACCTGAAGGAAGGCAGCAGTTGTCTCAAGGTAACAGCAGATTATCTCCCTTTTGCATACAACAAGCCAAGACAAAAGCACATTTTTCTCATTGAAAGGACATGTTTGTACACCAGCATTGGTGCATACAACAGTACCACAATTTGAGAACAAAAACAAAATTATCCTAGTGAAAATTGTTTCATTTGAGAGCAAAACTTTTGCAGAAGTGCTTCATCTACACAGGTTCTCATAAGGTTGAAGAAATTAAAAGATAGTTAAGAAGCTCGAAAAACACATGAAGTACATATGGTTTTGGAACATATGGAACTCTGGAAATCACAAGTTGGAAGAATAGTTAATGTACATTTCCATCATCAGTATGTAGTAAATTAGAACTGATAAAATCATAGGAGTTAAGAGGACAGAACATTCAGAAGCATCCTTGCATGTAACAAAGAAGTATGTCTATAGGAGAAGACCAAACATTTCTCCATAACATACTGATCTCCTCCTTCCTTTCTAGTTTCATTCAGACCTATTATTTTGTGAGAAGAGCCCATGTCTACAACATCTTGCTCTGCACAGTGACACACCAGATGCTTCTGGAAAATTCACAAGGAGGGCTTCAAGCAGGGACCAGTAGAAAAAAAGGGGGCAAGCACAAATCTGCTTATGCTAATTTGTTTGTGTCTTTAAAGGACCCTGTCTCCCCTAAGGGGTATATGGACTGGGAGAGGAGGGCCTTTGCTTTGAGGGAAAAAAAACTCTGGCAGAAAGATTCGAGTGGGGGGAGGCAACAGCAGGTAAAGCATCTATGGGCAAAAAGCCAGAAATCTGAGAGAATCGGATCAGAGATCACCAGGGTCACTGTACATTCATTCCTGCAAGCCATGAACAGCAGGTGGGTCAGATGGCTTCCCAGAGGTTTGTGGCCAGATGAAGGTTTTGGGACTCCAGCCCTAGTGGGCCACCCCCTAACATCTCTGGCTTTAAATCTATAGCTCTGTTCCTTTCCTTCTCTTGCTCTCCAGCGAATGGTATTCAGCAGTGCTTCTGGGAAACATGGCTAGCACTGATACGTACACCTGTCCTCCACATTTTGTCCAATTCCTTCTTAAAGCCATCTGTGTTGGTGGCCTTCACTGTACTTTGAGGTTGCAAATACTATTAGTTAATTATGGGAAGAGCAGGTTGACTGGAAAGGAAGCATTATGGCTGCATAAAGGATTTCCCTGCCAGAGAAGCAGAAAATTAGGCAGGTTGAATACATTTGGTTTTTTCAACATTGCAGCATACGTCTTGTCATCTTTCTGCTATTAATCTTACACAGTATGTCTTCATCTTGCTTAAATATGTGATGTTTCTAACTATGCCAAGAAGCGCAGCTGAGCATTATCTGGAGTAGGCAGATCTCAGTACGGTACTCCCGCTATGATGCTTATCATTTGTGTACTGCTAAAATACAGCGTGGTGAAAATAAAGCATGGAACAGATGTTTAAAGTCCTCTAACTACAGTGTGATGAGCATAATGGCAGACCTAAATTACTTCCATGTCATTTCTCATAGTCTTGAGATGGAGGAATGGCTGCTCACAGGGAGTGCCAGGGGAATGCTTTACTATGCCATAGATTGAGATGGAAAAGAAGGTAATAGGAGTGTATGATTTGCGACCCTAATTGTGTTACTAGCTAATTGTAGGCATTCAGATTTGTCTCAGGTAAGAGTCTCCATGTTTTGAAGCTGAGAAAGTAGCAGCAGATGAGCTTCTCTTAGTGCAGTGTCGCTCTTGCTTTTCAACAAGGGTATTGTTCTTCACATTGAAAGGTGCTGAAGAATCTGGACAAGCAACATATCTGTTCCTGGAATTTGGGGGTGGTCATTGCCTTCCGTTTATAACCCAACCATGTTTTCCCACCACTGCTTCCATCCTATTTATCATTTTAAAAAAGGGAAAGATTGAACAGTTTGCACACTTTGAGAAAATCAGAGCAAATCAGGAGATGAGTAAAAGGCTGGTTGGCTAGCTGGGTAGGGAGAGTTAAGATCACATGAAGTATTTTCTGCTTATCAACTTTCCTGGTGCTGGAGAAGGATAAAAGCAGAACTACACAGGGGTGCACCAAGGGAGCTATAGAAGTTACAGAGCATGGCATTTGGCACATGAACTCTGCATCTTCCCGTCAGGTTGAAAGAAGGGGCATGCAGTGCTTTCATTGTAGCTATATCTTGATATGCTGTTGTCACTGCTGTTTGAACTTAACTTGCTCTTGCATTCTCAAGTCCTATTGCAATATGTGCAGTTTATTTAACCTGCCTTTGCTGCATAATATTCATTCCGATTCCATCTGTAGTATGTGCAAAATGCACTGATTATGTAGTGAGGATTACTGGCAGTTGTTGGTTGTGTTTTCCTAGATACATCTGCATGAGTTAAGTATGCAGTGTGGAATTCTCAAGCAAATATTGACATGATTTTGTCTGGGAGGAGAGAGGGAAAGGTTTTCAGGCAGATTCCTTGTCTCATATTTGCCTTCACAGCAATTTTACGATGTACAAACTCACCAGGATGACTTCTCTTTATTTAAATTAGGTGAAAAATCTGATGGTAGATGGGCGGTTGGGGACCTGGTCCCCATGGCAACCATGTGAGCACTCAGATGGAGACATCATGGGTTCCTGCCTGTGCAGGTCACGCTTGTGTAACAGCCCTCGCCCCCGGTGTGGTGGACGCGACTGTGACGGAGCCAGGATAGAAATTGCAAACTGCTCAAGGTACACATCTGGGCCCTGTATGTGAAGTGGGATGACGCTGGTCCAGTCTTTCATCTGCCTGTTGCTCATCACTGTGTTACCTCTTGGTCAAACATTAAAAAAAGGGGGGACACTAGGAAAAAAAGCAATGCCATTATAACTTCTTAAACATCCCAGTGTTGTATATTTGTAGGGTGTTGGGAGATGCTCTTAGAATTACTTGGAGCCACTGGCTCTCAGACTAATTTACTTTGCAGGGTTGTTACAATGATATTTCACTGCCCCAGTGTAATAAAATCAAATGTAATATCCTGTCCACTTGAGAGATTTCACAGACATCAAGTAAGATTGCTACACTAGCTGACTGTGCAACAGTGGAAAGAGGAAAACATGCAAAGGTCAAGCTTTTAATTTGGAGTGATTAATAATGGAATAAAGTCTTACTATTATTGCATTGCATTTATAGCCCAAGTTTCTTCCTCAACCAAAGCTTGGATCTGTTCCATTCTGCCTAGGAAGGCCTCGGCAGTTATAGGCGGCCTATAAATGCATGTATAAATAAATAAATCCTATCACTACCTCGGATTAATATTTCTATTATTTATTACATTTATGTCCTACCTTTTCTTATCTTGCAAGGTACCCAAGATGACTTAACTAACTTTTCCGTTTTTCCCAATTCTATTTTCACAACAAACTGGTGATGTAGGTTGGCCTGAGAGTCAGTGACTGATCCAAAGTGACCCAGTGTGTTTCATGGCTAATTAGGGACTGAAGTCTGAATTTCCTGTGTCTAACTCCACACTATAACCACTGTACCACAGTGGCTCTCAGTTAGTTCACCACTACACTTCTAAAGGCATTTTCAGTCCATTTCAGATTGTAGTGATGACCATGGAAACTGGCACACTATATCTTTGGCTTGTGGGCATTTGGCTGGCTTATTTATGGTCTTCCTGACATTTCAAAGCTTTTCGTGTAAAAAGATGAAGTTTCCTCCTACAGAGTCCTGCCATATATTGGTCTTTTTAGCCTAATAGGGAACCTTCTGTATGTGCAAAGCTGTGTCTTCTCCAGATATGTTCAGCCATTAAACTGTTCCCCCTTCTACTCTGTCTGGAAGCCAAACTGGATGACTCACATGATTCCTGGGGTAAGTGGGGCAGCAGCAATATCAGTCGGGAAAATACTATGGGGGGGGGAGTTAATTCTCTCCTCCAGTGCCATAACCCCAAACTGCCTTGTCTCCATCTTCTCACATTGCCTTTGAATTAAAAGAATTTGGCAGGAAGATCTGTCCACAGTTCTCTTGTTTTATACCCAGATTGCCCTCAATCACACTGCCCTTGTAAAATCACTTGGTAAGGTAACTCATAACATTTATCAGACATCATGGTTTTTTTTTAATCTATAGACTTGTATTTAAAGTAGTGTAAAAGGATGAAATTTTCAGCTGGTACCCTCACTCCCCATCTCTCCTCAAATTGCCAAGAATGAAACTAGTGTTAACATGTTTGACCAAGGATGTTGCATTATCCTCATTAAAAATGCATTACATTGCATGCAGTACAACTAAACTCTATAAAAAGGGTAACCACAACATACTCCCCCTTGTATCCCCTGATAATTTCCTCTCACAGATCTGAAAATCTCACAAACATATAATGTTTTCCTAAAATCCTACTTTACTGGAATAATGGGAATACTAGGATGGCCTAAATATTAAAACAAGTACAGTACAAATCTACCAATTTAAAAATATTAATCCTAATTTGAAACATAGTTCAAAGCCTTTTAAAAAATACTAGGGCTACCCATCTAAAAAGTATATTATACGTATGAATGTCATGATGTGTTAATGGAAAAGGAAGAAGAATCAAACTATTCTTGTTAATATGACTGGTATTGTGCAGCTGTCTGAGCTCAAAAATTAGTGAAGGCACTTTTGTTTGCTTGATCCACTGAGGGCAAATTTTCAGATCTGCCATGTCCTCCTTGAATCTGTGTCATGACCACAATGCATGCAAGCTATTCTCCCTTTGCCACAGTCCATATCATACATCCTGTACTGGCCATTTGCATCTTTGTGCGTTTTAGATTTGAAAGACAATTCTTTTGCATAAAAATCAGTGAGACTTCAACATGTACACCCTAAGCTCTCAAGGGTGGCACTGTGCATTGCAGCAGTCATAGCTGTCACACCTGATGGAATCTAGTTCAATTCCTTAGCACTGGCCTATGTACCTCGTGACTGCTCTCCATGTCGACCATAACATTCTGGCTAGTGGTACAACAGGAAACTTCCTTCATAAAGTAGCTGATTGTTATGGAACAGTTCTCTACAAATTTCAGTCTCTGCCGGGAGCAAAAGCTGTTTCAGCTGGCCTCAACATGACTGGCCTAAAGCATGGACCAGACCTCTTTGTCTTAATGATGGAAAGAAATGGTTTTCCACATCTTCCCTGCAGAACAGCTTTTGAAAGGCAATTGTAAGCTAAGGTTGTCAGGAGTATTAGTTGCTTACATTGGACTGTTAATGTGCCATACCTATTATTAGAATCATATTTGTTCGTCTAATCTGTGATAAATCACTGTTCCCATTTTTCAGATGTGGACTTGAGGCTGAGAGAGAGAGAAATGTTCTCAAAGCCTCCAAGTGAATCTGTAATGAAGCAGGGATAGAAATAACTATATATTATATTTGCAATAGGACACATAGTTTTAAAAAAGAAAATTTAAACATGGATTTTCCATGTTTTTGAACAGCCATTTCTACAGCTGCTCCAACTTCACCAAGTGGAGCATCTTTTCGCCTGGAAGAGACATAAGACAGCTTGCATAATCATGTAGTCATTACCAACAATAAGATCTCCAAAGTGTGGGATACCATGAGATTAGCCTGAGGAACTAAATGCAAAATGCATTCAATATTAAAATTTAGTGACTGTTAATAAATAAGCCATATGGTCATCCAACACTCATTTTATGCTTACTATTTCCATTTTAATTGGGTTCATATGGCATTCTAATGCTTTCATTAGGGTGTTTAAAGAAGAGTTTTTAGTAACAAGCAAGATCTAAGATTGGAAATGCCACAATGCTGATGAAAACCTTATTGAGAACAGTCTGCATTTGGAATATAAATCACGTCTTCCTCTTTTTAAATCTTAACCTTCTAAACAAAGTATGTACATGGATAGAACTTCATTTATCCATTTTTCTGGCTTCTGTCCAAAACATTTGGCTAATCAGATGTTTGGCTAAATGGGTAAGTTATTTACATAGGGCTGCATTAGCTTACACACAAAAAATAAACATTGACATCAACAGAATAGACAGTGATTTTACAATATTTTCTATAATTAAGGTTTATGTGCTGGTATTTTCATTTCTTATGGCAGGAGTGGGGAACCTGCAGTATTCCACATGCTGTTACATTGCAGCTCTGTTCAACCTGGCTAGCATGGGCAGTGGTTGCTGTTCTTCCTTGTGGTCTCCATGCATCACACATGCGGGCTTGTGCACCTGCACAACTGCTCTGGGAGCCAGAGGCCAACAACATTACAAGTCCCCCATTCCCAGTATCTGCTTTCCATACATGCACACACCTGGGCACATTGGGGAAGATGACCAGGTTTCTCTCCCTTATTTAAGGTTTTGCTTCTATGTCTTTCCTGCTGAGCAAGAAAACAGAAGTAAAATATGGGTTAAATCATGGCTTATGTAAAAGGCATTTCCTTTGTTTCCTCAACTTCCTATGAAAGAAAATTAAAACACCACTGTTCTGAAGTCTGGCTGCCTAAAGAATGAGAGAGTTGATAACAAACTTGAAAAGTGTGAAGGCTACTCAGGTTTTAATTTTAATCTTCCTACTGCAACTGGTGCCCTGCCAGATATCTGCTAGTTGCCACGCTCTTTTATTAGTTCAATCAGCTCTTTGAAAATTGACACATCTGTTCACCAGCTCAACTTTCAGGAGCACAAGTAATGGGATAGCTTGTGATATAAATGTGACAGTGAACTTTAGTAAATGTTTGGCATTATTTGGCCAGGACCAGAGAGTTAGAGAAAGTAGGAATGTTGAGGTGAAGGAAGACCTACATCTGATGACAATTTGTAAGGAGAAATCCAAGGACAAGGATGTGATTTGTCCCTGAAATATTTTCTGCATATTTTCCTTCAAAGATCTCATACCTAGTTAAGGAATAAAAGGTTTGTTCCACTGCCCTGCTACCCCACGTAATGGTTGCCTTCCAGCATCTCACATATTTTTCTTCCTCTTGTTTTTCTGCAGCACTATAAATTTTTTCATACATCTCACAAACACAAAAAAGTATACTAAGATTACAAATTTATGAGTAATGGAGAATGTGCAGGGTGTTGGAGCCTTTTAGACCTTATGAGCCCGTATTATATTTAGGAGAGGCTTAAATCTGCTCAAAGTGAAATTACCATGGATTTTGTTTATTTGAAGTAGAAACTGGCAAAGACTCAAAGCACATGTGGAATTCTAACACTAAATCTCCATCTGTTTCTTGGATTTAATGCTACTAAAATGTACTTTGTGGAGTTAGTTGGTCTCTGCAACCTGCTGGTACTCCATAGGCAGTGGTGTTGAACTTAGAAGAACGTTGAAAAAAATAAATTAACCCAGATGCCATGTTTTATCTCTCTTCCTTCCCCCTCCCCTCTGGCAGGAATGGAGCTTGGACACCCTGGTCGTCCTGGGCCCCCTGCAGTACTTCCTGTGGGATTGGCTTTCAGGTCCGTCAGAGGTCGTGCAGCAACCCTGCTCCGCGATACGGAGGCAGGGTCTGTGTCGGACAAAGCAGAGAGGAGCGGTGAGAGTCGTTCCCCATCCCTAAACGTCTATCAGACTTTTTGGCTCAGAACTCTGTGTTTTCTTTTAAAGGATACATGCACCGCATGGACTAGACACCCTTCTCAGCTACCTTCTCCCACATGAACCTGTCCATTCATTGAGGTCCTCATTTGAGGTCCTGGTGCTGGTAGCTCCTGCCTGTGGAGGTTAGGCGGCTGGCAATTGTTGGTGGAGCCTTCCTCTGTGATGGTGTCCTGATTGTATCCCAGAAGTACTTGTTCCAACCCTATCTCTTAGGTGCTAAGTAAAAACTATTTTCTGAGGCTTTTCTGAGTGATATTATGTCAATGGTATTCTACTACTACTGATGGTTTTCACTGTTTAATTTGTACTGTGTGCACTTTAGATTAATTGTTGTTAGATTGTGTTTCTATATTAATCTCTTAATTATGTTATTTTAGATTGTAAGCAGCCTTGCAGACCTTGGGGTGGAATGGTGGGATTTAAATACAAATATTTAAAATAAATAACAATGCTATCATAACGCAGTCAGATATCGGAGATGACAATATAAAACAGCCTTGTAATTTTGAGAGAGCAGGTCAGTGTTAAGCTGTTAAGATTTGCTGAGTCCAGATATTGTGCTTAAATATGCAGTTGTGTCTGGTGCTGCATAATACTGGCTCTCACAACTTAGAATGGGACCTGTTAACCCTCCTGAGAGCATTTGGATTGAAGGGTGCAATAATTGTGCCGCAGAACAACACATTAAGTAGGAAAGTGCCACAGAAATGGAATCAAAACAAGGCTGCTGAAAAACAAAAAAGAGGCCTCACCTTGCTTATTTTGCAGAATTACACAAATAAGCACTCCCCTCCCTTCAAAAACCAAGGCTAATAAGGATTAAGCATTCTCTGGAGATGCAGAATGTTAAGTGTCAGCTGGAAAAGCAAATATAACATTCAGGGGGAGCGGGGAATGGAAATGGACTAACCTGCTGGAAGCTAGCAGGGCTGGCTGGAACCCTGAGCAGGAGGAGTCCTACTTAAAAAATGAGGATATGCTACAGTATTGTTGCTTATTTTATTTATTTATTTATTTATTTAGGCAGGCGACTTCTATGCCGCCCCATTCACCGAAGCCTCGGGGCAGCTCACAAACCATAAATAAATAAAATTCAATAAAACAATATAAATTAACAATATAAATTAAGTCACCCTGGCCAAAGAATAAAATGAATAAATAATATTAACAATTAAAATAACATTTGAATAAAAAGGTCTTCGCCTGGCACCGAAAAACAAATAACGACGGCGCCAGGCGGACCTCTCTGGGGAGCGCATTCCATAGATTGGGCGCCACTGCAGAGAAAGCCCTCCTCCGAGTACTTACCCTCCTAATTTCCTTCACAGAGGGTTCCTGGAGAAGGGCCTCTCCCGCTGATCTCAAGGGGCGGGCGGGCATATATGGACATAAGCACTCCTTCAGGTAACCAGGACCCAAGCCGTTAAGGGCTTTATAGTCATCACCAACACCTTGAATTGGGCCCGGACTTCATTGGGAAGCCAGTGAAGCTGACGGAGGACTGGAGTCATGTGAACATAACGCCCAGTCCCCGTCAGCAGCCTGGCAGCTCTATTTTGAACCAATTGAAGTATCCGGACCATCTTCAAGGGCAGCCCCACATAGAGCGCGTTACAGAAGTCAAGTCGGGAAGTCACCAGTGCGTGTGTCACTGTCGCCAGGCAGTCGTTCTCCAGGTAGGAGCGCAGCTGATGGATCAGCCGAAGCTGAAAGAAAGCGCTCCTCGCCACCACTGTCACCTGAGCTTCCAGTGAAAGCTCTGGGTCGAGGAGCACTCCCAAGCTGTGGACCTTGTCCCTAAGAGGGAGTGCAACCCCATTCAGGACTAGGTCAAGGTCCCCTTCCCTGAAGCCCGATCCGCCAACCAACAGGACCTCCATCTTGTCTGGATTGAGCTTCAGTTTATTGGCCCTCATCCAGCCCATTACCTCAGCCAGGCACCGGTTCAGCACAGCCACTGCCTCACCTGGATTGGTGGAGAACGAGAGGTAGAGCTGGCTTATGCCCTCTCTCATGCCGCACTGGTACATGTCTGTAACAAAAGTAATATGTCACAATTACTCAAACAGCTTCCGAACCTCAAAAATAGCTTGACTTTTGGATCAGCATTTTTGGAACTGATTGATGCAGATAAACAGCTGCACAGTGACTGCTTTTAAAACCAGCTTCATGGCAGATGTGTGACATGTTTATGTGCTGCCACATGCAGTGCCAGTCTGCCGATCTTCATCAGGCTGTCACAGACCATGACAGAAAATCGGGTGATACAGATGACAAGCAACAGCTTGTCTAGCCCTAGTGAGGCCTCCTTGGGGAGACCTCTAAAGCCATGCCTGCATGGCTTGTTGATGTGAATTGGGTCTGTAAGTGCCCGGGCAAATTAAGGCATCTTGGTGTGCAACATTAGACCAATAAGGAGATTGTGTAACCCTTGGCACCACAGAAGGCCAGTCATTCTAGCACATCACCTTAAAAAGGTAGTTTGTATGAAGCAATATGAAATGACTTTAATCATCTCGACCCATGATCTTAGAAGACATACATCATGGATGAGAATCCTCAGCAGTGGTCCTGGCTCCTTTCAGGGCAACCAAGGCCAGTCCCCTCTCTTGTGTCTAAACATGTCAGCAAGGGTTCCCTCAGATGCTGTTTTGCATTGCAGGGAAACTGTGCTGTTTCCAAACTGGGAGAGGAAGCAGCATGGCAAGAGCCAGGGACAGCTACTTTAGCTAAGTTGCTAGGTGGAGGAGGGCTACTTGGTAGGGGTGACTTTGTATGGAGCCAGCAAGCTGTATGTCACTAACTCAAACTCCTGTGGAAGAGGGTTGAGTTGATTCTTTGGCCAGGGACTAAATGCTATTGGGGAGCATGGCCAAAATCAGAAGGCGTAGCCCTATCTTCCTGACAGCATTATTCCTGCAGAGAGCAGGGGAGGAATGATCTGCATCCACACCCATTTACTGTTCCCCATTACATGTCAGTGTGGCCTCCTCTTTCCAGACTGCTGTGAATTAAAATGGGATTGAAAATTTTTGACTTGGAAAACTTTTCTCAAGAACCAGGTGCCCACCACTTGACCAAAGTAGATTTGAGAAGATTTATGGCAGCTTCTTGAAGAACAGCTATTAACTAGAAATCCTGTACATTATTTCTTGTCCTAGGATCCCTGACAGAAATTTTCTCAGGAATTCATAAATGCAAAAGACTTGTCATTTAATTGTTCTGAATGTTTTCATTTTGGACTAGATCTGTGACCATTGGAAGCTGGCTTTCCTTGTTCATTTCAAAAAATGTTTGTTGAAGTTAGTGAGGGTGTTTCCATTAAGAAATTGTGTTATTAAAGTAGAGCTGGTCTTCCTTGTTTTAAAACATGCTACATACTTAGAAAATAATAAACTTATAACAAGACATAAAGTGTAAGTTATCTGACCAAGCTGAGTGATACCTACACCTGAATTGGGGTTGCTGAGAAAAAACATTAACTGCTGAAATAAGTTATTAATGATGAGTAGTATAAAATGCTATTAGTAAAACAGAATGAAAGAATAACAGATCCAAGGAGTTTGGGGCAGATGAAAGTGACATTTGATCAGGTTACTTTCTCCCTACAAAGAAGGGACGGAGCAGGGAATTAGACCAAGTTATGGTTCCATGTAAATTGAGTAGCTAACTTGTATTCTGAATTAAGACCCACTGAGTTCATAAAAACCTGCTTGGAAGTAAGTTCCAATGTACCTATCAAGAAACATAGTAGGTTTGAGAAGTAATGCCTGCTAAAGTCTCGTGTGTGTGTGTGAGAGAGAGAGAGAGCGAGCGAGCAATTATTCGACTTTCTTGAAAACCAACATGTTACTTTCTAAGCAATAACAGCTTCTTCAGAATAACTGGCACTAGATTATGAGAAAGCTTAGGATCCACACAGGCCAAATTAATTTCAAATATCTGAATTTCTCACTTAAAATAGGAGTGCTTCAGGGTTTAAATACTAAGGGCAGAATCCAATGAAGGTGCTCAGGCTGCTACCAGTTTTCTTCCAGCCCATTGACTGTGTTGTGCAAGCAGCCTCCAGCCCTTGCCAAGCAACAATTCAATGCTTTCAGGACAACCTGATGGGAAATAACAATTTCTGGCAGTGTAACTCATGTAAGGGAGTTCCACCAACATGCCTCCTTCTGGAAATGAGCATTTCCACTCATCTCGGGGCTTCCCCGAGGAAACACTAAACCTCCCTTGTGGAAGCGGTAAGTCCCACATGCACAGTGCATTCAACAGGAGCTACTGCTTGCTAAAGGTAATTCAGCCCTGCTGAGTTCTGCTCTGAGTTCATTTGCAAATCTGTCAGTAAACATTTATTAAAAACATGCGTAGTTTACACTGAATCCAGACAAAACAAGAACAAGTAAGGTTATAGTGTTAAAATGTCGCATTCAGTTTCTATAGCTAATATGCACATTGAATTTCGGTATAAGAAGTCTAGGTGCCTTACCATGCAGGTTAGTCGGCTACATGTTAGAAAAGCACAAGAAAACTTCTGTCAGGGCCCAGACCACATTAGATATTAGGTGTTGCTCGATTTTTCTGATAGCCCATGCTACACGCACATGTGCGCATGTACACACACAGGAGATTTTTAAACAGGATTCTAATACTGTGTGATTGGAAACATAGAACAAGAACTTGGGACCTCCTTCAGTTAAAGGGTGCGGATTCAGATTTAAAAATTAAATAACATCCCAGTATTTTAGCATACATCTGCCCCTTCTGTCTTCTAAGTGGACATTGACAAAAATGGCATGGATCCTGACTAAGGAAGTCATGTTTTAGTCCCACTGAACTCAGTGGGACAATTCTGTCCTGACATGTCTAAGTTCCATTGATTTCAGCGGGACTAAAACATGAAAAATATAGCTGACCTATGACTTTTCTTTGTGTACTTCTAGTCAGCTGTCAATATAGTCAGTTGGACCTTTCACCTTTGGAAAGGTGATTTCTTCTTCTTGCTCTGTATGGTTCCCCAGAGTGCCATTTACAACTTTCCTTTACCCTCCAGGATATTGACTTGGATTACTGTTTCTTTTTTCCCCATTCCCTACCATTTTATTTTCATTCAGGTTCTGCAATGAAAACAGCCCATGCCCGTTACCAATCTTCTGGTCTTCATGGGGCCCTTGGAATAAATGTAGTGCAAACTGTGGTGGAGGAGTGCACTCTAGGCAAAGGTCCTGTGAAAATGGAAACACCTGTCCAGGCTGTGCCGTGGTATGCCCTTGTTTCTATAGGCATCAGTGCTATTTTCTTGAGTTACATTTCCCCTGGTTCTCCCAGATTCCGCTCCAGTTGTGCTCAGACACCTGGCACAAAAGAGGAACAAAGCTTAGTAGATAAGAGGAAATTGGTAGTGGCCTAGGGAACAATGGCACTACGACAGTGTTGAGGGGGTTCTGAGCAAGATGTCTTCCCTTGCCACATGTGCTGTGAGCTCCTGACTCACTGATTTCCCTATGACTCTCCTCTAGAGTTTGGGTGCACTTCGGAGTACAGCTGCTATTGTTCCTACCATAATGTTCCCAGTCCACACACACTGCCCAGGGTACTGATGGGCATTTCTTTTGTTTAAGATTTGATTGCATGTTTGTTGCTCACGTACATTGTACTGACAAAACAAACACAATTTGTTAGCCTTTAAGATGCCACAAGACTCTTGTTTTTGCTACCACAGAGCAACATGACTACCTTCTGGAAATGTTACATGGAAGAACAGTTATTACTACAGATTTCTTTTTTTTTTTTTCTTAATGAAGTTGTGGTGATACCAAATTTCACTGAAGCAGCAGTGTTGGGGAAGGGGATATTTATTTATTTTTTCTTCCATGCTGTTTCCCCAATTTAAATCACCCCACTCTGAAAGGAATACTGCAAGGTTCACAAAGGGAAAGAACGGGAGGACCCAGGATTTAACTTGGGAAAAGCATGAGAGGAAAAAAAAGTTGTAGACCAGGCTCAATTCAAAGTGCTTGTTTTGCCATATAAAGCTATAAACTGCTTAGAACCTGGCTCCCTAAAGGACTGCCTTCTCCTGTATGTGCCTGCCTGACCACTAAGATCTGGGCAGGAGGTCCTTCTAAAATAGACATCCCTCAAAGAGGTTAGAAGGGTGGCAAATAGAAGAAGAACCTTCTCAGTGGCTTCCCCACTTATGGAATGAGCTTCCCAAAAAATTCACTAAGTGCCAAAGCTATTCTTTCCTGTGCCAGGTGAAAACATTTCTCTTTTCTAGGTGTTTTAATCAATAATTTTTAACAGTTAATTTTAATGTTTAAATTAAGCATCCATCTTATTTGTCCTCCCAGTGGTTTTAGTATTGACCTACTTATTGTTGCTGTAATACTAACAATTTAATGTTTTATTTATTGGGTTATTTTATTGTTTTTAATGCATGTGTTATTTTTAAATATTGTAAGCCACCCAGGGATTCCATTGGAGCAGAGGAGTGGCATATAAATGCTAAAATAAATAAAATAATAAAATAAAATAAAAACACCCTTGGTCCAAAGCTCCACTGCTCTAATCAAGTCCCATGCCACAACCTAAATACTGTATTAAGTGAAAAGAAAGACATAGGGAGATGATATCATAGCTTGCTGCATAGCATGTAAATTAGCCTTGATGTAGTTTATCTGTACTTTCTCATGCAGAAGGGGAACACCCATAACTGCATGTCTTTCTTTACATATAACTAAAGAAAGCTCTGCATGCAGAAAAGCAGTACTTCAGGGATGATTAAGATAAAACTTAATCTCCCTGGTATCTACATTTTTATGGGAAAGTATTCTTAAATTTCAAATTTATGGAACAACATTTAGTAATCTGCAACTGCCCCCCATCCCCACACCAAAGAGTACATGCAGTCCAAAGACAGGAATACCCCCACAGTGACAGCAGGGCCTTTGCCTATGCAATTTGTATGCATGTGCATGTGTGCAGTGCATAACCTCTGCCTGGGCCTGTCTGCTCAGCATCATACTCTGTGAATTAAAGCATTGGAACAATGCTTTTAAAGCTTTGTTTCTCCTTCAGTTCGTTTTAATCAATTTCTCAGAAGTTTTTTTTATGGCTTGTTCAAATGTGTGGTGCTCAAGCACAGTGGAAATTCACGATTCCTCGAACAAATATTAAGGATTGTTGGACTTTCCCCATGTCTCCCCTCTTCCTTTTTGCAGGAGTTTAAAACCTGCAGCCCAGAGGCCTGCCCAGAGGTGCGGAGAAACACACCTTGGACTCCATGGATGCCCACCAATATCACCCAGAGTGGTGCCCGCCAGGAGCAGCGCTTCCGCTATACCTGCCGTGCTCAGCTTGCTGACCCCCATGACCTCCAGTTTGGCAGAAAGAAGACAGAGAATCGGTTCTGCCCCAATGATGGCTCTGCGGTTTGTGACACTGATTGTATGTCCTGCTTGAGTGCAGATAATTTGAATGCCAGGCTAAGCTTCTTCTTACTCAGATTGGAGCTGAGAGCAGATGAAACATAGGGATGGATAAATACTGATCTCTGTTGATAGCAACAGAGCAAATCAAAATGGGCAGATTGAGACTGTGTATTTTGTGGTATCGACATGGACAAATTCCCATGGCATTGTGTGGGAGCTTTCCACGCACCTGCCAGTTCTGCAATGGGTGTTGGGGGGTGCATGGGCTTTATTTCTGTGTTTGCTTAGATATCCTTAACCCCACATGTTCAGTACTATTGGAGCTACTTCCACTTGGTGCTGTCATGCAATGCAAATAGCTACATGGCTCCAATTGTGAGGGCCTTTCTCACATAATCAGGGGGCTGAGTTTCTAGAAGCCAGTAAAGAGGCTAAACAGGGGCACCCCCAACCACCTGGTGATGTGAGCATTTCCTCACTTTTTACTGTTCATGGCAAATCAGATGTTGTTGTTCAGTCTGTGATGAATACAACCTCATATCTTCTATGAATTCAGTGGCTTGACCAGCTTGAGAAAGTTTGCTTTAACATTGAAAAGGGTAAAGCTGCATTTATGGGAATCAGCAATGATACATCTTATGTAGGTACCTATAACTTTTGTAGATCCCTTGTGACTTTAGACAGTAAAAGCCTATTCTCCCATCAAGCTCCTGATTAGTCTCACCCAGAGATGTGTTGGGTAGTAATTCTATTCTTCCCTGGAATCTCCAAAATAATTATTAATCAGTCAGTTTAATGAGCTGCTGATGATTGACAAGGAAAAGAGAACTTGGGGTCATAATAGAGAGCGCAATGAAAATGCAATGATCCTGTGTGTAGCAGCTGTGAAAAAGGCAAATTCCATGCTAGGGATCATTATGCAAAAGACTGAAGTTAAAACTCTTAATATCATAATGGCTTACAAGGTGCAATATACCTCTTTATATCAGTTGCTGGGGAACATGAGTGGTGCTATGGTACTCATGTCCTGCCCTTGGGCTTCTCTTAGGTATCGGAGAAGCAACTGCTGGGAACAGAATCCTGGACTGAATATGCCTTTGGTCTGACCCAGGATGGCTCATACATTCCATGTTCTAAGTAACCCAGATTCCATAGGAGAGCTAGTGCCTCTTTACGCTGATGCTGGGATAAGTTCAGTTTTCCTCCTGTTGCCTTCGTTAGTGTGAAGAGTAGAATGCTGTTGCTATTACATTATGCTAACTAAGCACAAAAATGGGCAGATGATGTCCTTGGAATGCACTCCAAGGGCTCATTCATGATCAGCCACTAGCATAGAGCAGAAGTAAAGCTAGCCTTACCTAAGAGCTGCTATAGGAATGGGCAACTTGTGGCCCTCCAGATGTCATGCCTACATCTTCCATTCCTGGTAGCCAGCACAGCAGTGGTTAAGGTGCATGATCACATTGTAGACCAAAACTTCTTAAAGGCCTCTATGTTTGCCCACCTCATCCACTTGCTAAGCAAGGTGGACATGATTTAGTCAAGAGCAAGTGGATATTGATCTATAAGCAACCGAGAGAGAAGCAAAACTGAGTTTATCATGTATAATAGGGCCACTATTATAAAAGCCCTAGCTTTTAGAAACCAATTTCTATACTTCATTGTTTTGCATTATTACGTATGTTAGTTTTTTAACTGTTTTTAATCCATCCAGAGAGTGTTAGTGTTTGTGCTTAATTCTCCAATTCCTCTCCACCTTCTCTACTCCCAAGCTCTAGTCGATGACCTTCTGAAAAGTGGCAAGACTTCTATTCGGATTATCAGTGGTGGTTGGTCCTTCTGGGGAGCTTGGTCCTCCTGCTCCCGAGACTGTGAGCTGGGCTTCAGGACTAGGAAGAGGACATGTACCAATCCGGAGCCAAAAAATGGTGGCCTACCTTGTATAGGATCTGCAGTGGAATATCAGGATTGTAACTCACATCCCTGTCCAGGTAGCTACTTTTCCTCTTTCTGCTTTAAATTTTAGTCAGAGCCAAGCATGTGCTCAGTGAAGTTGTTCTCTCCTGCCATCCGAGGGCACATTTGTCAAAGCCAGTGTGAAATATTTCGTTGTCTGAAGCACAGATGGTGTTTCCCCTGCCTTACCAGGGCCAGCACCTGAACAAGTCTTGCTGCATCATTCAGATTCTGATTCCTGCCTTTATTAATCCTTCCCCATAAACGCACACGCAACACACCTCATGGTACCACCCGAAGTTGGCTGCTTCATCTTTCTGTGTGGCAGGGCTAGCCACATTTTTGCACGTGCATTTGCTCAGTGAAAGCCATGCCATGCTGTGGTGACAAGCTCAGCTGGGGAAAGCAAAGGAACGTTTGTGTTCTACAAACAGCAAGTGCTTTCAGATTAGTCTCCTTGCTGTAAAAAAAATACTACATCTGCATTCAGCACTGGCAAACTCAGAGCTGTGTAAAAGCAGTTGTGTCTTGGGTTTAAAAAAGCAACTTGCTGGCTAAATCCAGAACCCTTGACTTTGGTTCCCATTTTCTGGGGTTAATATTCTTGCTTTCAAGAAGAGTACTAGTTAGCCCATTGGGGTTGGCAAACAGGGAATGTTGCTTCCTGGATAGCAGAGGCTTGAATGTCTATTTATGGTCCTGTTACTAAAAGGAGCAGAATGATCCTTTTCAAAATCCATAGCAGCTGATGTATTGTATCCCAGACAGCTTCACTAGTTACCCTAGTGGCTTGAGCAGGGAAACTGGAACAGAAGCCTGTTTGCAGAAGAGGAATCATGACTTTTTCATTCCAGACATAGGCTTCCCTTCTGTCCTCTTTCAGAATTTGCGTGGGGGCAGGTTGGCATTTGTGCAAAGAAACAAACAATAAACAAAGGTTTATTGGTAGAGCTGTTTAGTGCATACACAGTCACCCACCTATGCACTGGACATGGCTGTGCCTTGAACATGTTTCAGAAATTGCAGTTGCTGAAGAATATGGCTTCAAGATTACTAACTGGAATTGGGCATCTTGACTGTATCATACCTATGCTTTATCAGCTACACTAACAGTCAGGTTAAAGCACTGTTTTTTTACCATTAACACCTTAAACAGCTTTAAAGGCTACCTTCTCTTATATGTATTTGGCTAAATGATAGGATTTTCGGAAGCTCTGTTCCAGTGGCCACTGCCAAATGAAGTGAAGTAAGCACTAGTGAGGACCTTCTTGGCAGTGGCAACCACTTATGCATGTTCCAGAGAAGCCTGCCTGGAGCCATATTTAATGTCTATTTAGCATGAAGCAAAGATTATTTTTACTTACCCTGTCCTTTACAAAATATATGACTTACACTCTAGGTCTCTTAGGTTATAATCTGATTTTTTGTTTATTGTTTTTAATTGTATTTTCTTTGTGAGCCTTTCAAAGAATGTGCATTATAGGACAGCTATACCAAGATACAAATAAACTAAACTAAAATAGGATGCTTTTTATCTATCATGATGATTCCACTATAGCTTTCTGCCCCTCATTCTTGCAGTAGTCCTTTTGTTTCTGGTTGAAAAAACATGCAGCTTGCAAAAGTGCCCACATTTTTGTTTTGTTTCCAAAAATCATTCTCAGTGAAAGGATCATGGTCCTGCTGGACTCCTTGGTCTCAGTGCTCGGCCACTTGTGGAGGTGGACATTACCAGCGCACCCGGACCTGCACCAACCCAGCGCCTTCTAATGGGGAGGACATCTGCATTGGGCTGCACACAGAGGAAGCCCTCTGCAATACACACTTGTGTGAAGGTATTTTTATTTCCTCTGGTTCAGTTTGGATGCTGAGGAAAAGAGATTAAGGCCATAGAAAATGCAAGTATCGTCTGGCATGTACGGTTGCAAGTACCAGCTTGGCCCAAGTGCAAATATTTAGGGTAATATTCAGCAGGTTGAATAAAATAAGTAAGCAACTTAGTAATGGAAATAACAGAGCTAAATATGCTGTTTCCTCAGCTGCTTTTTGTCACCTTTGTTTTGTGCAAGTTCTCTTTGTCTCTTTAGAGAATACACCTGACATAATACAGCTAATTTGAGTTTGTGTTCAAATTCATGTTTTAAGAAAATATTAAAGATCCTAGGGCTGATGTAATTCTGTTCACAGCCCTTAAAAGGTAATACTGAAAGAGAATGGCTCCTAAATGGTGTGATTTTTAAAATGTTCTGCCAATTCCTAAACAATAATTCAGTTGGAACGGGGTGGGAAGAACTGTTGTAGCAGCACATATACAAGTTCTTCTGAAACACAGAAGATGGCCTTGTTGATCTTCAGAGCTGCTTGTACTGTTTTTCAATGTAAATTTCGCATCTCACTGGGGATTTCTCGATTAACAATCTCTAATTGTTTGACTAAACTTCCATTCAAAGCCTGTGTGATCCTTTGTTCTATGTTTGTGCCTTGTAGCTTTTCTTGGCTTGATACTGTTATAATCCTGCATAATTTATCTTATTGCTGGTATCCCTTTTTTTTAAGGAGGCTGGTCTGAATGGTCTGAATGGAGTCTATGTAATGAAGATGGAATCCAGTATCGTAGTCGTTACTGTGAAATCCACAGTCCAGGATCGCCTCACTGTGCTGGAAACAGTACACAGTATCAAGATTGTTTGTACAATGAGATCCCTGGTAGGCACAATTTCACATGCTAACCAGCCAAGAAAACAACCAAGTTAGTTAAAGAATTGACTGGGTGGACTTTCCAAAGCTTGTCAGAAAAATTGTTGGCACTTTTAACATTAAACATATATACATATATGTTCTTAGGTGAGTGGTTCGTTTAATGGTGTCCAGGGTCCCATTGGTTCAGCTAGCAGGGAGATGACATTCTGTAGAATGGGAGACACCCAAATTAAGGTATTGTTTAAGATGGAAGGAAAGAAATGGATTGACATGGGGATAATGTTGGTGAGATTGCAAATTCATTGCTTAGCAGTGGGTGGGTTGGATAAGAGTCTTGCAAATAAGTCTCTTTAGAATTATGGATACTTCTGAGGGGGGATAAGAAGGATCTTGTGACCCATGAAGTTGATATATAATCAGAGAGTTCTGTATTCTGTATCCTAAAGAAACAGTACATAAAACCATAATATAAACCTGCCTGGATTGAAATTAGGTCCAGCATCTTATTTCCAGTGAAAGAAAGGAAGAGGCTTCTGGGAAGCCCATCAGAAGGACATGAAGGCCAACAATTCATCCCATTACTTGCTTCAAGAAGGCTGTTCAGCTGCAGTTTGTGAACAGGGTGGGCCCAAAACATTTTGCATCCTGAAACAGCTTACAGAAACCAACGTGCAGGAGTCGAATCCCACTTCAGCACAGCCAAAGGAATAGCATCCTTCACCACATCTGAGTGCAGAAGCCCAGCTCAGATGCTGACCTAGCTCTGTATTTCTCTCTGAGTAAAGGGACAGCTGCTGCACCTCTCCACCAAAAAAAATGTCCCTAGTACATTTTAATGTCATATGGCCATTGTCCATTTCTGTCTGGTTGCAGCAAATTCCATAAGTCAGTTCCAAGGGAAATGCCCTGAAGTTGAAAGAAGATATTGAAATAAACTATGCTATGATATCAACTTCATTCGTGGGCAGGCGCCATGGTATTCCATGTCATATGTTGGTCATTGTGTTTCTGAAGCAGATTATGCAGTATTCAGATATATCCAGACATTTTGTAAACACAGCATGAATGGATCAGAGTCCTTCTTTGAGTCTTTCAATATTGATACCTGTAATTTACACAATTCATGCCAGAAACAAATAGTTTATTTATTTTTATTTTTTATTTTTATTTATTTATTATTTATTAAAACATTTTTATGCCGCCCCATTCGCCGAAGCCTCGGGGCGGCTTACAACAAAAGATTAAATAACATTTTAAAATATATACAATAAAATACAAATATATAAAAATACAAGATATATAAAGATAAAATACAAATATATTATATATAAAGAACTATATAAATATATAGTTCTTTTTGCGTGTTGCATTTGGATGGGTTGCAATCCAGCCCATCTTTCTTATGCAATAGGACGTTCTGTTAAGAGGGTTGGGTTTTTTATTTTGGTTTTGGGTTGTTATTTTTCCTATAGTTCATTCTCTGTTTTTCACTAGAGCTCTGGGAGGCCTGCATTTGCAGAGATTAATTTGCCATGCACTGAGCAAAGGGGTTTTAATTGCCTGCACAATGTTGCAGATGACAAAAATGACATTTCCCCTCCGCTGTTTTTCTCTTTGTTTAGTAATCCTGCCAGCCTCAAGCATTGACGAGAGCACGAACTGTGGAGGTAGAGTACAGCTAACTATAGATCTTATTTTTATCTTAACATGACTACTCTTTTCTGGGAAGCATCAACCCAACCATTAATCTGTGCAGTTCACATCCCGTTGATAGCCTTAATTCTACTGGAGTCTTATTGTCTGAGTCAGAGGTGGTGGTGGGAAGTATTTGCAATTCAGTTTTCTGGTATAAGAATTTAATTTGGGGGAGGCAGATTCTCTGAATAATTAATTACCAGGAAGATCATAGCCCTTCCACTATAGCTGTGTTTGAAATGGACTGGAAAAGATGAAGAGAGATTCCCTATTTTCCTGAGCACTCAGTTAATTGTAGAGTTGGCACAGAATTGCATTATAAGAAAAATGATGATATTAATTTGGTGTCTCTGTTCAAGCAAAAAGTCCAAAGCTTTTCTGTAGGAAATGGTTTCCCCTGATCACCTTGTAGGTTATCTGGCACGTAAATCATTTTTCTTTCCCAAGTCAATGTAACCCCTCCTTAGCAGCACTGGAACATCCTTTTTAAGAAATGCTCAAGGTGTTGCTCTTTTAGGAAGTACTTCCCTTTTAAGAGAGTTTCTTTGGTCTCAGTTGTCAGTGACTTGGTCAGGTCAATATCAGTAGTCAGTAAGCTGTGTGGGATAGAGCTGTGGGCATTTTTTCTTTCTACACTGGCACAGGATTGCAGTTTTAGTTAGGTCTACATTGACAGTCAGTAACTGGCTCACTTTTATAGACTTCAAGATATAACAAAAAAGAGTTTGCACCAGAGCTGGGATGTTTCCAGATGGGGCTGTTAATGTACAACCACTGTGTCTCATTCACAGGTTTTTAGCAGGGTGCAGACAATGACTTCCTCTGCTTCCAATCCTCCCATTTCTCTACTGCTTCTTCTATCTTTGTTATTACAGTGCAAAATCCATAAAGAAAACAAAGTCAGGATAGCTACATAATGCCTTTGGCGAGTGACAGCTAGGACCCCTGCATTTGGATGCAATCTTGGTATACTGAGATTGCAATACTGTTCTTATACTATCTCTTATTAATGGATCTTCTTTGGCCTAAGCCAAATCAATAGAAGTTTTTTTCATGGATCCCAATGGCAATGGGATAAGGTAACCCATGTGAGACTTGGGTTTCCTTAAAACATTTGCCTGGCCACTACTTTTTCCTGACATTTAGTTCCCTTATGCAGAATATTTATTCTACTAATTGCCTTACAAGTCATGGCTGGAGATGTCTGAAAGGTGCAAAGGGAAATGGGCATTTCTTGCTTGTTGCAGCAGATCCACCTGCTAATATGGTTGGCAGTTTTTCCCTCTGATTGGTTAATCAGCATGGAAGTGGCTTTTTGACACATGACATATTTCTAGAGTGGTGGTAGAAATTTCACCCAGTGGAGCTACAAACAAGGAACTTTTTTTTTCTCTTGCACATTTATAGATGCTTGGGGTCAATTCTTTAATAAACCATTCAAAAAATTTTAATAGTTCCTATCCTCAGATGAATTCTGAAAATTGTACAACTGGGATGGGGGCAAATGGTTTCTAGCAGACTTCGCACCAAAATGTCATTCCTGACAAATAGGTATGAAACCAATAAATGATTGAAGGGTAAAGATGCACTCAAATATATTCTTAATAGCTTGCTCTGCACAGCAGTCATTAATATAGGATAGAATCTGACAGTGATGCAGACACGCTCTGCACTACAGAGTTTAAAAAACTGATTTGCATTCCATCTCACTGAGGAATGGTTTCTGTGAGGAGAGGACTATGTGAGAAGGGGGCTGAAGTTCACGACCAGAACGTTTTTAGTATCCTTACCAAACTGAAATCCCCACCCTAATATCTGCAGTGTAGATAAGCCACTATAAACTGCTAAGCTTATACTCCCCCCAGCTGATTGCACAGGCCCAGACTGAGCCATGTTTAACAACAAATGTTTTTTCTTGTTGCCTTTGAGAAACTGACTGCAATGGGCACCAAATTTATTGCCAATATAATTGGCAGGAGCAAATTTGGAGTCTTTGGCAAGCAGCTGGGGACTTCTGTAATTTTCCACCAGAACCCCATACAAATATAGCAGATTTTCTGGCAAGCCACTTAGACAGCTCTTGGCCTGGTTATCTGTCACTCTCAGTACAAAAAGCAGTATGATAAAGAAAGTAACGGCAAACAGTCCATCAGAAGACATTCCAGTCTAGTTTTTTCTTCATGTGTGGCTGCAGGGAAGCCAATGGGATTAGGACTTCATTTCCATTAACAGCAAAATAAGCTTTCTCCATCCCTCATTCATCTTGCCAGGTGTGTGCTTCTGCTCAGAGTTCCTTTATCAAGCTTATATCCATCATTCTGCACACTTGCATAATATTGCATTATGCATCATTATGCAGTATTGATATTCTTACTGCCCTCTTCCTGCTATTGCTGTTCTCTGAATCACTGTGACCAATATTAGTTATTTATTTATTTATCCACCAGCATACCTCATTAATTGGCAAAAGTATAATCTTTAGGAACTCATTCTGCTGTCTCTTGGTATGACACTGGAAAAATATTGCATATAGAGCCAAAACAATAACCAAGAAAGCCTTAATATGGAAACCAACAAGCTATAGATTCAAAGCATGTTATCTGGGTGCTTAGCAAAGTGGCGTGGAGGCACACTTGAAAGAGAAAGCTTGCAGGGGCTTGGTTGAGGATGGGGCACTCGCTAGGAGTGAACAATTCCATACAGCAGAAACAGAATTCTCAGAACTTGCCCAGCTACAATTTTCAGGATCCTTTGAGGGGGGAAAAATGACATTTCAAGTGGTCCAAAAGCAGTATATGTTGATATTGTAGAACAAGCATAGCAAACCCTTGTCCTCAAGTGGGCTTCTGTTGATTCTGAAAACCCTTCACTCACTTTTTTAAAAAAGCACCCTTTCCCCTCTCCGTTCATCTTTTTCAACTATTTTTGACTGAGTGCTGCATTTCTGCATTGCATTCTATTTTATATCTCCTTGGTAACCCAAGAAGTGGAAACATTTGAAATCTGTACGTCTACTCATTTGTGTTAGAAATATTTTATACTCCAGGAGCTTTACCTTTGAAATCTTAACATGATGTCTGCCTCAACAATTTCAGCTTCCAGCTGAGACTCTGTCTTCACTACTCACCAAGAGTCCAAGCCAAGCAATATAGAATATTAACCATCTGTCTGTCTGTCTGTCATTTGTTCTTGTTCTGTTCTGTTCCCAGGGTGTACCCTGCCCTTGGATAGCTTGTAGAATTTGCAGCAGGAGTGAGAAGTCTTTTTCACCCTGATGGATGCTTTGGCCCCTCTGGCAAGGGCAAGGCACTCCTGCTCCTCTTAGTGCCATTCAGAAGTGGCAACAATTTATGGCTTTCTGTCCGAGTTTGGTGTCAGCAGCTGGCATCCTTGAGCAGCTTTCAGTAGCTCAGTACCTTAGGGTCTTGTTCTCAAGCTACCTAGCCCAGGATCTGTTTAATCTCTTCTTCTACCTGGATATCTGGCCACCATTTTAATTTTCCACATAGTGTCCATCCAGATCATTTTGGGAAATTAAAGTGGCAGCTAGGCCTGCCACTGATTGCCCAGACTGCATGGTACAGACTGTAGAGAGCAAGTGGGTTGGTGCACGTTGGCAGACACTCCTGAGGGAAGTTAGCCATGTCTCTTCTGCTGACTCACTTTCTGAAGATGAATCTTACAGTGGGATTGAGAAGCAGCAGGATGCTCAAAGTCCTGGGACACAACTGGGAGAGGCGACAGAGCTGATGAGCTCAAGGGAAGAAATGGAGGTGGTCCAGACAGACTCTAGGAACAGTATGGAGATACAGGATGCATGAAGGGCTGGAAAATCTTCAAATGGAGATCACTCTCTTCCCTCAGAGTTAGCCCCTATGGCTAGGCAGTAGCAGTGGTGAAAAGCACAATTGGTTGAGAAGCATGTGGGGGGGGGGGAGGTGTGCTTGCTTTCACAGCACCTCTCCCAAGGGGTGGGACACAAGCATGCTTATAAGAAGAGTTTGGGGAAGTAATAGCCAGGCTGAATTCAACAGCATGCTTTGAGCATGCTCAGGGACCTGGGTGAGTAATCTACGTGTAGAAACAATAAAGAGAGTTTTGCTGAGAACCGCTCAAGGTTGGTGCTTGTCAGAGGGAGGAAACGTGGCTCACAACACACCAACATGGGCTACCGTGGGGGTACTTTGGCCAAATGTCTCCTGAAATCTGGAATGATTCCTGTTTTGGCCACCTCTTCTTATCACCTCCTTCAGTGTTCTGAAGTTCTTTCTCTCTTCCAATTATAGAAATGATGAGCTTCCTCCACCTTCTTATTTCTGTGTTGTACACATGCTTTGGAACTCACTGTTGTTTGCAGGCCTCTTTTCTTTGCCTGTCAGTGTAATATTTAATTTTAGTATCAGTAGAAGTAAAAAGAGAAAAACTTTTAAGAAAGCAAAATATGATCCCATTAAGAATACAACGCTCAGGCCAATACAAAGAAAGGGACGTGTATATCTGTTGATGTTAGTAGAGGCTGGTTGGTTTCAGAATTGCATTTTCCATGTGGCAAGGATACAGAAAATTATCCTCTGTTAGCTGAGCAATGTAGCAGCTTAAATATTGTTTTCTCATGGTGACAATTTATGAGATGCTTTGTCATCAAGGACATATTTATTATGCAAGGATTCCCAGATGGAATCTGAACAAATATACTGAGTTGCAGGGAAGAGGCAGGCGTTGACTGGTACCTTTCTGTAGCTCGGTCCATTTGTCCATATAATACTGGTCGTACTTGGGGAGGCAAGGGCTTGGACCAGCTGCACTGATGGAAGTGGGCTTCTTTGCTCTGCCACTTTCCATGGCAGCCCTCTAGGCCCTGAAAGTGCTATGCAGATAGTCAGGGGACCCTGCCAGATAGGGCTGAACCGTGATGCATGGGGGAGCGGGGATCCAGCAGATTCAGGTAGAAGGACCTTTTATGAATGGAGCCTTACCTCTTACTGAAAGGAGATCCTGGATTCAACCCATGGAAAAGGGATTGAGGTATATGGTTAACAGTCATACATGCAAATTAGGGGTATTATAGGAGAAATGAAAAAACAAAGTATGCCCTGCAATATAAATTGTGGAAACAGTGCCAAAACTGTAGCTATACTGTATGAAGTTTTCTAGCAACACGTGGTAACAAGATGTATGAATCTGATTTCCCCTTGTTTGTGTCTCTGCTCACAGCATGCTTTGTCCCTGTCCCTCCTCCAGGTTTTAGCCTCATCCACCTGATTGCCACCGGAGTCTCCTGTTTCTTTGGTTCTAGCCTGTTAACATTTGTGATCTACGTTTACTGCCAGCGCTGCCAGAGGCAATCTCAGGAATCAACTGTTATCCACCCCACCACTCCTAACCATCTCCATTACAAAGGCAACACAACTCCCAAAAATGAGAAATACACACCTATGGAATTCAAGGTAAGAGCTTTCACCTGCCAGTGGATCTATTTTGCAGTGTTGTGCATATTTATACTGCATTCCAGCAGTTTCCAAGCTTTGACACATGCAGTTTTTCTCAGAACACTTAGAGGTGAGCATTGGGATCAGCAGAAACATGTGGCCTCATCTTCTCACTGATATGCAGGCTTTTATTTTTATTTTAGTGAAGGAGAATGCAGTCATGCTGTGCTTCACCGGTAGGCAACTTAATTGTTACCGTCCAGAAAGAAAGGAGTCTCTTCTGATTTGTATAGTTGGGTACTTATCTACATTTCAGCCCCCACCTGCTTGGATAAGGACAGATTGATAGGTCTGTGCTTGCCATAGTAGTTGAACTTTCTTGGTCTGTTACCTTGCTGCAAACATGTAGACTTGTTGAATAACTGAGACACACCTTTAAAAGGCCATGGATTTATACATATCTACACTTTAGATATACTGCTAGCAGCCTACCTTATGTTCAGTATTCTGGTTTGGAGCTATTAGACTGTGTTCTTTCTTACATTTGCATGTGTGCTGTCTTTCGTATTGCAATATCATGTTTTTTCATATATAGTGTTGTTTTATTCATTATCTAAATTATTTCTGTAAATTATCTCTTCTCCTTCTCCTTTCCATATTTAAATTTCCTCCAGTGTTGCTTGTCAAAAGGGATCAAATAACAGCTTCTTTGTATTTGTGTGTATTTATCTAGATCTGTCTATATGAATAAATTATAAATAGGAGGGCTATCTTTATGTGATCAAACGTTTTGATTATTTAGTAGTCCTATCCAAAAGAAACCCACCTCCACTGTGAGTTAGTTGTCCTGGCAACCCCTTTTTCAGCAGAAATCTGGCATTTCCGTTATCAAGAAATGAAGCTGACAAGCTAGCAAGTGTCCCAGTAGTAATTAGCACATAATAAAGCACTCAGCAACTGTAATCAACAAAGTAACTTGTAGGCAGGGGGAAATACCTCTTAAAAGCAATTAATTAACTTTCAGTGAGCAAAAGCACAAAGATCGCAGCTCATAGTTTTACAAATGGAACAGATACAGAAAAGAAAGTAGGGTGCAGTTAAGGCCACCCCCACTTTCGAGCTTCCTTGGAAGGTATTGTTTCGAAATAGTACCACTGACAAAAAAAAGCAAAAATGTTTCTAAGTATTTCTAAATGAGTGCCACTGCATAGAAACAGTTTAAAATACATTTCAGAGCGGAGAAATAGGTTTTGGCAACCAGAAGAAACCCTTGAACTTATCAGGCCTGTTTGTTTTGAAGCCTGCTAGCTGAATTCTTCACAGCAGCTTACCTGACCTGTGGCTGCCAAATTCCAGATGAAAGCTCTACCAGATGCCAACAAGCAAATGGGGATGAATCATCCAGGCCTACTAAATTCTTACTTGAGGAACCATACATCATTTCTGTGGTATATCACTGTACTAGCTGTGTGCCTTAAGGGCAGGTGTAGACATTAGACTTTAATCCGGAGTCCGTGCGTTTAGTTTAGGGTGGAGGTCCAGTTCATGGAAGGCTCACCCTTGCCCTTGGAGATGCATGTTTTGCTTTTGCAGAGGGGGCAATGGTGATATCATTGGCAAAGGTGTTCCAAGCAATGGCTAGGCCTTGATAAGCTAGATCAAAGCTGGGCATGTGGCTAATAATTCTAGAAGTTGTATTTATTGAGTTAAATGGCTACGCGATATGCGGAAAAAAATAACTCACTAAGGCCTAATGATGCACAGCCCAGAATTGGTGGGGTTGGTCTTCCCTTATATATGTCAGTTCCTTCCTGTGGTTTAAAGAACCATGCATTTTACTTTCTTACAGAATTCATGATTGGTTTTAGTAAGAAAAATACCTTGCAAAAGAGAGATGTAAACATTCCTAGTATTGGGAAAAACAAAAATTAAAATGTATTTCAACAGCTGTTCAATGCACCATTTTGCATTTTGTACCATCTGGTGTCCATCACAAAGGGCACATGTTAAAAAAAACTTGCATCAGTCCATCCAGCAATCACTCTGTTTTGAAAGGATGAAGCAGATGCAGCTAAAGAAAAGATTTGTGGTGAAAATAGTTAGGGATGCATTATGCTGATTGATATACACCCTGGCAATAAGCCCCTGCAGGGCTGGCTGTTGCAGGAAGCAGGAGAGGATCAGGTTCAATGTGGGGTGGACTGTCAACACATCAGCCAGCATCCCAGGGGACTTGGTAGCTCAGGCTACTCATCCACCGCGATGAGCAGTCATGTTGGCTCTGCAGTGCTCTAGGCCATAAGGAGAAGGCCTCCAGAGCAATTGTGACTTGCCTCTGGAATAACAGTCAGAAGCAGATTCTTGAGACACCAATGTAGTAGCTTCAACTTTAGTAGCTTTTCAGTAACAAATAGGTACCGTTTATATTCTCTTAATGTTTGTCAGGAAATCCACAGTCCTGCTTTAATCTAAGACTAATCTAATTTTCATTGGATTTGTTCTTTTTAAAGTGCTCTAACTGACTGGGTTGACTTTTGATTGTGTAAATAGAAAACAGCATTATAAAAAGATTGAATGAGTAGAATTCAAATTCAGTCAAATGTTCCATTCATTTAAACAGACAAATATACAATTTCCCTGTACGGAGACAATAACCATGTCAAGAGGAAGACTAGGTTAAAGAATATCCTTAGACATTAGTTTTATATATGAAAGCTCTCTTTTTAGATTAAGAAGCTTTTTACCAGCAATTCCTCCTGCAGCTTGAAATGAGACAGTCCAGTAAAACTTGTGGTACAAGATCTGCTGAATGTATAAATCAGCTTGAACTCTTTGTTGTCCCTGATTCTATAGTGATTTGATCGGAGTAGATATAGCACTGTGAATGTATATTTATAACTTCTGCTATAGTGCATGGTACATTGTTTAGTCTGTGGGGCAGAACCATTGCACCTGTGAGCTCTTTCTGAGATATTCTGGGGAAGATGAAAGCCATGTGCCATTGCATTTGCAGTTCACATAATCAGGCATGGAATTCTTCCAAATATTCCTCCTGTCCCCAGTCCCTGCTCTTGCTTAGGGTATCCAGGTCTTGATTTGGCAGGGTGGAATTTTCAGTGATTCCGGAAGAAAAGAAGATAGATATTCAGGCAGTTTGTCTTGGATCTGGATTCATCTTGAACTTGGAAATAACTTTGTCTGCTCATGACCTGCAATATCATAAAACAGGCCTCAGGGATTTGCCTCTTTTGTGTTGTCAGGGGCCTTTGAATACATGCCTTTCTGCTCATTCATTTCCTTTGTGGGATATAGACAATGGGGGGCGGGGGAGGTTATTTGAAGATTACAGTGGCAGAAAGTTGGAGGCAGGTTAATGAGAAAGCTCTTTAGTTAAGTGCAAGTCAGCATGAATTTGTGGAAGGTAAATCATGTCACACAAATTAGATTTCTTCCCCTCCCCTCCTTTTCTTTTCTCCCACTTCTTTCTTTCTTTTGGCTAATTAAATAAATATTGATCTATGTAGAAAGATAAATGCAATATGGATCCTCCTGTAAGTTTCTGACATAGTTTCATTAATGTAAGATGTTTTCTCTGTCCTAAAATCATGCACTCCCTTCCACCCACCCAATAAGACTGTTCCTCTTTAATACCATGTATTTAGTGTCAGCATGGTATTATAATACTACATAAAAGCATCGAAGTGATACAATCCCTGCCCTCAGATTTGTTCATCTACTTTAGAAAGGTAAGATGAGAGTGGAGAGATCAGGATTCAGCAAGGGTAGAAGCAATTGGATAGTGAGAACAGAGATGGCAAGTGAGGTGCAATTAAGCTGAATTCAGGAGAGGAGTTACTGACAAAGTGGCCCTTTCCAGGAGGAGAGGGTGATGACTGTTCGATAGTAACGGAGAAGCTCTAGCCAGGAGCAGCAGCATTGTGGAAGTTACAAAGATGGAGACCTGTTGGACTATGGGCAGGTGAGATGGTGATCAGGAAGAGGTGACACAGGTCCTACCAACAGTACAAACTTACATTCATTTCAGACCTGTCACTGGGTTTACCAGAGACCTCAGGACTGGTTGTTAAATAGCTCAACTCAGCACCATCACAGAACAACCGTTCTAAGGGTTCAGTGGGAAGCGGCACTATTAAAGCCTGCAGTACAGATATGCCCAGGTAAGGAAATTTGAGATTTCAGTATGGGCTGAAATTAATAGAACTATCATTTCCAAATTGTGTGAGGTACTGTTTCCCCTCTATTCAGCACCAGTTAGACCACATCGTGAATACTGTGTTCTGTTCTGGGCTTCATGGTTTAAGATAGATGCAGACAAAATGGAAAAGGTTCAGAGCTGGTCAGCAAGGATGATCTGAGGACTAGAAATGAAGCCCTGTGGGGAGAGATTGAAATAACTAGACATGCTTAGCCTGGAGAAAAAAAGACTGAGGGGCGATAGGATCTTTTCAAATACTTGAAAAGCAGTCAAACAGAGGAAGGGCAGGATCTTTTTTCAGTCATCCCAGGACATGGGATAATGGACTCAAGTTACAGGAAACCAGATTCTGACTGGATATCAGGCAAAACTTCCTGACTTATTAAAGCAGTGTGGCAGTGGGACCAATTGCCTAGGGAGATTGTGGGCTCTTCCACACTGAAGGCATTCAAAAGGGAGTTGAACAGCCATTTGTCAAGAGTGCTTTAACTTGGAGTTCTGTACTGAGCAGCAGATTGTACTCGATAGTGTCATAGACCCTTTCCAAGTCTGTAGGCTAGAAACTTGGAACCAGTGGAAAGTTCTTAGGAAGAGAGGCACAAGTACAGGAAAAGGAGAGGGGGACACTTTTTGCTGGCATCCTGAACTGGCAGAATAGACAAAAGGTGGGAAGAGGGAAAAGCAGAAAAAATAATTTAGTTAAATCAATTCAGGTAGAATAATTACCTTATCTTCTGAACATCAAGGAGAGCTGGGTGAACTGATAAGCAGGTTTTCTTATGATTGTAGACTTGGTGTTGTG